CTGGCAGTGTTCACAGCCAGGTTGGCTAAAGCCTTGAGCAACCTGCTCTGGTGGGAGGTGTCCCTGCCCAGGGCAGGGGTTGAGGCTGGATGATCTCTAAGCTCTATTCCAACCCTTAACATCCTATGGAACTATGAAATCTGTGGTCCTACAGCAGGATGCTACTTGTGCAGAACGATTTCACAGAAGCCTCCTGCTATGCTACAGAAAAATCATAGAAACAGAGTGGTTTGGGTTGGAAAGGACCTTAGAGTTCCAGTTCCACTCCCTGTCATGGGTAGAGACACCTCCCACCAGCCCAGGTTGTCCAAGCCCCATCCAACCTGGCCTGGAACACTCCCAGGGATGGAGCAGCCACAGCTTCTCTGTGCTCAGCTCTTCTGTTGCTGGTTTGCTCCCTGCAGTATTCCCAGTCTATCTGCCCTTACATGCTGTGATGTTTGCACTACTGCACTGAAACAATCATAGAGCCATGGAATATCCTGAGCTGGAAGGGACCCACAAGGATCATCCAGTCCAACCCGTGGCCCTGCCCAGGACACCCCAACAATCCCAGTATGTATCAGAAAAGGACTTTTCCTGCCTTAGAGTGAACAGTGTGGCTATTAGAAGCCCCAAAAGGGGAGACTGAGGGTTATTTTCAGCCAGCACAATGCCCACATGTGGACTTTGATGTCCCCTGTAATCCTGCAGGAACATGTGTGACATCCTGTCCTGTCCTCAGCCTTCACATCCTGACAAAGTTTCCCAAGCTTTGGAATGAAACTCTGTCAGTTCTTAAGGTCTTGTCAAACTTTCTCACCATGTGCACAGGCTGGATAAGCTTGAGAAAATTCTCCTTGCTGCAGCCCTTTCTCTGGAAGGTTTAACTCTTTGCCATCCTCTGCTAAAGACTCTGAGGATTTGCTTCTCCCTGTGTGTGGGTTGGGGATTTGTAGTGAGTCTGGTGTTATCCCACAGGAAAATGTAGACTCAGTTTTGGATGACATAAATCACAGTGCTGTTGTGGAGCTACAAGCACTGATACTGCCAAGGGCCTGAAATGTGTGGAGTAACTCCATCCTCTGCTCCCTTCCCAGTGTTTCCTCAGCTCCTCATTTTGCTCCTGCCTGAGGACTCTGCTGGATGCACAACTTCAAGCCAAGTGTTCTTTTTGCTCTTCCACCTCCCTAAAGGAGTTGTTCCACATTCAATAAGCTGCCAGCTGCCATCCTTTGTCCCTCACTCACAGCCTGTGCCTGGTGCTTGGCCACCCAATCCATGCTGAATCGAGTCTTTACCTGGGCCCTTTGTGTCCCACTCAGGGGAGAATATGGTGATTTTGAAGGAAGTGTGGACAACCTCAGTTTGTCTCATTGTGAGTGTGCATGACTCTTTGTATGGAAGCTGCACTGGTTTGGAAGTGGCTGAAGCTAATGGAAGCAATGTCTTGTGGAAGGTGGAGCTCACTTTGAGCACAGATGCTTGAAGAATGGGTTACTCAGAGCAGGAGCTGTGCTTGCCAGGCCACATTCCTCACTGGGGCTGGCCAGGTGTACCACAGACAATCCCACGAGCTTGAGTCGCCTCACTGCCCATATCTGATCTCTGAATCCCTCCTTTGCTTCTTTCCTTGTGGCTTCTTCTTGTCCTTGAGTAGAGCAAACATTCCTGATCAGCACCTGTGCCATGGAGCCAGGCTGGGAGAGCTGGGGGTGTTCAGCCTGGAGAAGAGAAGGCTCCAGGGAGAACTTAGAGTTCCTTCCAGTGACTATGGAGGCTCCAAGAGAGCTGCAGAGGGACTTGGGACAAGGGAGGACAGGACAGGACACAGGGAATGGCTTCCCACTGCCAGAGGGCAGGGCTAGATGGGATATTGGGAAGGAATTCCTGGCTGGGAGGGTGATGAGACACTGGCACAGGTTGCCCAGAGCAGCTGTGGCTGCTCCATCCCTGGGAGTGTTCCAGGCCAGGCTGGACAGGGCTTGGAGCAACCTGAAGCAGGGACAGATGGGATATTGGGAAGGAATTCCTGGCTGGGAGGGTGGTGAGACACTGGCACAGGTTGCCCGGAGCAGCTGTGGCTGCTCCATCCCTGGGAGTGTTCCAGGCCAGGCTGGACAGGGCTTGGAGCAACCTGATCAAGCTGGTATCTCTGCTCATGGAGGGGATAGGAATGAGATGAGCTTTAAAGTCCCTTCCAACCCATTCTGGGATTCCCTGATAGCCTAAGAGAGTTTCTCTTAGGTGTTGATGTAGCCATGGATGAGATAGGTGGAGGTCAGTGTTGCTGTGCTTGAATGGAAAGCTGGAACTACAGCTATGTTTAGGGGCCCTCTGACCTGCTTCCCTTGACTCCCCAGAACCAAGGGAGTAGCTCAGTTTCTGCAGGACAGGGATTTGCCAGGCCCTCGGGCTGCCCCAGGGCTCGGAGGGCACAGCTGGCTCCTGGAAGCTGCCAGCAGCATTCCTTCTCCTGCTCCATGCTGGAAGGGAATGCAGCAGTGGGCAGAGCAGGCCCAGCAGCTGTGCTGTGTGTGCTGCCTGCACAGAGGGATCATATCCTCTCCCACTCCTGTTTTCTAGTGAAATACACTCAAATTGTTGTGTTCCCTCATTATTAGTGTCTGGGTGCTCTGAGGTGCTGTGCTGCTGGGATACCAGTGCAAGGGGCCCCCCAGGCCTGATCTCAGGGTAATCTCTGCTTGGTGCTTAGTCACATGCCCCAAATGTAAGGGTTTAGATCCGTTTCAAAGTTCCTTAGGAGCTTTATTCCAGCACCAGCTGTTGTTCTGCAGCTGAATTTGCAGGGCTGAAGCATTGGCTTTGCAGAAACAAAGCCTGAGGGACTCTGTGCTTGCCACAGGGGAGGTACAGGGCAAGGTGGGGAGCAGGAGAGAGTGAAGGAAGTTGGGGAGCAGGAAGGGGTGTGAGGGAAAGTGGGAAGCAGGACAGGGTGCAAGCAAAGCAGGAGAGCAAGGGAAAGTGGGGAGCAGAAGGGAGGTCAAGGGAATCTGGAAGAGCAAGAGGGTGTGCAAGGGAAGCAGGAGAGAAGGAGAGTGTGAGGGAAACTGGGAAGCAGAGGGAAGTGTAAGGGAATCTGGAAGAGCAAGAGGGTGTGCAAGGGACGCAGGAGAGAAGGAGGGTGTGAGGGAAACTGGGAAGCAGAAGGAAGTGTAAGGGAATCTGGAAGAACAGGAGGGTGTGCAGGGGAAGCAGGAGAGCAGGACAGGGTCTGAGGGAAGCTGGAGAGCAGGAGGGGATGTGTGAGGGCAGTTGGAGAGTAGGAGGGGGTGAGGGAAGTTGGGGAGCAGGAAGGGGTGTGAGGGAAGTTGGAGAGCAGGAGAGGATGTGTGAGGGAAGTTGAGAATGTGCAATCTGTGGAGGTTGTGCAAGGAGCTGTGGCTCACGGAAGGGCACTGAGCTCATCCTGGCTGCAGGAAGCTCTGATGGGCACAGCCTGGGCTCAGGCTCTCCTGCCAGGAGCAGGTGTGTTGGGAATGCTCCAGCACATCTCATCTCCTGGCAGGCTGGGGCTGAGGCTGGCACACAATAGCCTCTCACATCTCTTTTACAAACCCATTTTGGGGGCAGAAAACTTGCGTCCTGCCAAGTTCTATTAACAAAGGCCAGCCTTAAATAATGGAGTGAGCTCTGAGTGAGGGCAAGAACTCTCCTTTTGCGAGTTCTCTAACAGTTTCCAGGCTTGGATTTCCATGTTGCCACCCCCTTGCTCTGATTTCTGCCCTACCCCATGCCCTGCCAGCAGCAGTGGTGACTGCTGGGGCAGAGTGCCCTTTCCCTGCAGGAACAGCTGCCTGTCCCAGTGTAAGGCACACGGACAGGAAGCCCCTTGCTGCCCTGGGGAGCACAGGTGTTGGTGTTCCCACATGCCAGGCTTTTTGTTGGTTTTCCTAGGAGAAGAAGAAGAAAAAGAAGCACAAGGCTAAGGAATCCTCCGAGTCAGACTCAGACAGCTCAGACTCGGACAGTGATGGAGCTCAGCCCTCCAGCAAGAGGCACAAGCACTCAGGGAAGCCCAGCAAGGCTTCCAAGAAGAAGAAAAAGAAGAAGCACAGGAAGTAGCCCTGAGATTGAGCAGGGCCAGGTGGGAATGCTGGCATCGCCATCCCTGGTGATGAGGAGTGAACAGGACAGGATCAGCACTCCTCCCGCTCCAGGGACAAGGAGTTTCCTTCTAAAAGTAACACAGGCATGTGGTGTTACAGGTGTTGACCTTGAGACACGGTGTCCTCTGTTACCTTGGGCACAGGCTGCCCCTTTCTCCCATAACTTCTGCCAGAACAGGCTCATGACACCCTCCATAGCCTCTCATGTCCCATAGCCTCGTGTTTGGCTGGGTGTGCTGCCAGCCTGAGCCTGTGTGTGTGTGACATCAACCTCATCTAGTCATCTGCAGCAGTTGGAGTGGCACAGCCAGGCTCTCCCTGCCTGTCCCCACACCAGTCTTGGGGACTAGGAGTAGTTGTTGCTGAGCCTTGTGGTGGGGCCATATCCTCCTTGCTGGTATCAGCATGGAGCCACTTGGGTTTGGGCTGCAAACCTGCCCCCAACTCTGTCTGCAAACATTGGGAGTGAAGGAGCAAGAAGCAAATGGGGCAGTGGAGATATTGTAAGTAAACATTGACTGTGGAGTGTTTGCTGCCTTGGAAAGTGATGGAAAATAAATCTCTGCCTGTACTTTGGACCAGGTCCTTTCTTTTGTACCCTCCACACTTTGATTTGGTCAGGGAAAGTACAGGGCTGGCTGGGTGGGAGGGAACAGATCTGCATGGAAGGGTTTTTTTGGAAGTCTTGGCTGCTTCCAGAGGTCCCTGGGGGTGGGAAGGGGGTGTGTGGTGAGCTAACCCATAGGAGAAGCCTGATGCCTACTGGAAGGGAGCAACTGGAACATAAATCTTGTAACTGGAGCTGAAGGTCAGGGGAAAGGGATGGTAGAGGGTTGGGCAGTGACCTCAGAGGGAGCCTGCCAGGAGCAGGAGCAGCTTGTGCCTGCTGGGACAGATGTGCTGAAGGAATGGGGGGAAGAGTCTCTCCTGTGCCCTCTGACTCTGCAGGGAGGTGACAGTGCCATTGGCAACTGCCTGTTGGCATCACAGGAGAAGGACTTGGGGTTGCTGGTGCAGCTTGTGCTTTGCCCTTCCCTGTGCTTCTCACCCCAGTTGCCCTTGGCTCATCCCCCCACTTTGGGGCTGGTTCCCTTCCCAACCCACAGACCAAGTGCTCAGGACCTTGATTCCAGGCCTGCACCACCAGCTGATGCTCTGGCACCCTCTGACACTGGTGGAAGGATCCCTTTCTTGGGAGGAAGCGTGTCTGGGTCCTGGGTGATCCATGGTAGAGCTGCAGTGGGACTAAACAAATATTCCCCCTGGGAAAGCACATGTCTTAACAGCCTCTAATTTCCACAGCTTGGAGAAGCTGCTGGGATCACTGGTCATTAACCCCATCCCTGCCAGGGTGTCTGTGCTGACCCCTCATGCTGCTCCTGGGCAAGCCCAGGGTGCCACATACCAAAAAAGCCTTTTTCCAAGGAAACTGCTCACAGAGCTGTAACAACACGGCCTTTATTCTTTTTCCATATGAGTTTTCCCATACTTAGTTTAAAAAAAAACCAACCACAAACCCCCACCCAAGCCCCCTGAGCCCCTGGAGGCACCGGGGCAGGAGCAGCCCCAGCAGGGCAGTGGCTCTGAGCCCACGGGGAGCTGTGCCCGGCGCAGGGCAAGGATGGAGGCAATGCAGGGGTTAAAGTGGCACCATGAGACAGCTGGGGCAGCTGGGGACAGCGTCTATGTCGCCTTCTCGTAGATTCGGGTGGAGACCACGTTGCCCATGGTGAGAGTCTGGTGGCAGATGGTGCAGGAGGTCAGTGCTGCCCAGCCGGGACAGCTCCCACCCTGCCCTGCCCCGGGCTGAGCCCTTCCCACTTAACACCACCTCTAGTGCCTTACCAGAGTTAATTTCCCATCCTTCAGCTCCCGCACCAGCGATGTTTCCTTCCCTTCCCACTTCTGCACGTGGACGAGTTTGCCACCATCCAGCGTGACCAGAGACTGTGGGGAGAGAACAAGACCTGCTGTTACCTTCCTCCCTGGGGGTTCAGGGCACTGTCCCTTGCAGGGGTCAACACTGGGTGTCCTGGTGCTCACCCTGGAGCTCCACAGGGCTTGGAGTCAGGCTGTGAGCATCACCGTGGGGATACCCATCTGGCAGCATCCAGACTGGCTCGGTCAGCTCTGCTCAGCCCAGCCTGGATCCTGCCCTGGCCACAGCTGGGTCACAGTCCCTGTCCTGCTGCTGTCATGGTCACCCTGCCCTGTCTCACCCGAGGACACATCCTGCTCCGGGGCCAGCAGGACCTGCTCTCAGCCACTCCCAAGTTCAAAGTGGTGGCGCAGGTAGCATCAGTGCTTTGAGCCGAGGTTTCTCTGCCCTGTGGAGGGCACGGTGAGGGGTTTTGGAGGAGCTGATCCTGTGAACACGTCGCTGCTCGCAGGGCACTGTTTGCACAGCCATCACTGCTGGCTCAGCCGTGGGAGCTCAGCCCGTGCCAAGGTTAGTGTGACAGCACTGGGTGCTGCACTCCGTGGGGTTGTGCCGGGACAGGCATCGGCACTGGCACCAACTGCTCACCCCCATCCTGCCCCGTGCCCCCACCCAGCCTCTCCAGAGCTGGGGGATGCTCCTCAGGTGCCCCCAGGACTTGGGTCTGCCCATAGCTCAAGTGTTCCCACGGTCCAGGGCTCGCTCTGGGTGCCCCACAGAGCTCAGTTGTCCCCATTAGTTGGGTTGTTCCCACTGCTCAGGTGCCCCAGAGGTCCCTGCAGGGTTTGGGTGCTCAAACACAGCTAAGGTCTCCCCACAACTCAGCTCCCTGCACAGCTCAGGTGTCCCACAGCACTGGATCCCACTGACAGAGAGTAGATTTACGTTGGATATTAGGGAGAAATTGTTCCCTGTGAGGGAGATACTGGACTGGAATGGATTTCCCAGAGCAGCTGTGAGAGCAGCTGTGGCTGCTCCATCCCTAGAAGTGTTCCAGGCCAGGTTGGATGGGGCTTGGAGTAACCTGGGCTGGTGGGAAGTGTCTCTGCCCAGGGCAGGGAGTGGGATGAGATGAGCTTTAAGGTCCCTTCCAACCCAAGTCATTCCATGATTCCATGCAATCCTGGCTGCCCCACAACTCCACACACCCCACAGCGTGGCTGAGCCCCATTCCATGCAGCTCAGGCAGCCACCCTGGCCCCTCTGACCCATCATGTGCCCTCTGGTCGCAGGCCAAGGGACACCCCAAGGGCATGTCCCTAGACT